TCTCTCACACACACACACAGATTCATTTCTAAGTGATTCAAGTCCAAAAAGACTCTTTATAACAAACAAAAAGAAGACATGAATAGCTAATCACCGAAAATTTTGCAACTCACAAAAGAACTTTTCTAAAAGCTTGTGCCCTTGTGCTGTGCCAGTAGACCATTTTTTATGGGCTGTGCTGGATTAACTTCTACATATTTGGACAAATAACAGACCATGCAGAGTACCCATTCTGTCCCCTCAACGCCTCAATCATTGTTAATAATTTCAAATTATTATTATTATTATTATTATTATTATTATTATTATTATTTGCTCCTACAAATCCCACAAATTAAACCAAGAATAACAGAGTCACATCCCATATTCCTGCGGCTCAAATGTCCAACATTCAGCGTGACAAACCCAGCCTGGTTACCTCGACTCCTTTGGTTTTAAGATACAAACGTGAACTAATTATGCTATCTAAATTTAGATAGCAGAAGGTCCTGCTTTTCTGCCCAGCAGCATATCTTTCTTCACTAGGCCTAATAGACTGAGATTTTGGCAGGAATAGCTTCTCCAACACCCAGCCTCTGCTCTACAGGGACATCCCTAATCAGCTAGAAGGTGCATATAATTTTGCACCGCGTCTTTCGTGTCAATTTTTATGTTAATAATGAGAGGATCATGACAAAAATTGCCAATCATGTACCTAGATGGAGCTCCTTTGAATACATGACTGTAAGAAAGTTCCTCGGTTTGAGACCCGCTGTCAAGTGCTAACAACCCGCGGAGGGAAGTCATTAGACATACAAAAGACCTGGAACAAAGCGACAGTCCTGGTACACAGAATGCACTGCAGAAGGATAATATTTGACAGATGTAGGGTTTCAAAATATTACAGACAAAGCAGCCTAAAGAGCCCCTCCACCCCCACACCCCAACCTCAAATTGTGTTATCTGATAATGGGAAATACCTCGACATACAGCAGCATCTCTTTTTATTTACACTGCTGAACCTCATTATATCAAATCCAGTATTTTCATAAGTGTGTATTCCCTTTAGGACCTCTTCACTCAGCACACACACACACACAATGACGGGACTGAGCAAGGCGAAGGGTTCAGACAAAATAGACTGGCTTTACAATCTGTCTGCGCCTGTAAAAATAAAAAATAAAAATGGCTATGTGCTATTTTATTCGTTCCTTGTTGGGACATCACCAATATGTTAATTATAAAACATGTGAACTGTAAATCGTGAAATATTTTGCAAATATTATGGATAGTCCTACTGATAGTTGAAAACTGAATTATTGATCGCAATGGAAAACGCTTCATGAAATTGTGGATGGTAGGCTATTTTTTAAACACTTTTTTTTATTATTATTATTTATTTTGTGTGACTTGCTGAATGTTTTTTTTTTGTTTAGTTTTTTGTTAAAACACTGGATGTACACGCCAAAAGGACCATCACATAGCCTACAAATTGGCTCGTTAGCTCACCAATCTAGTCCAAATTCATGATTCGTATTTCGTGCAAAAATGAAGGCGGAATTATAGAGAGATGGAGAACATTTCTTTACGGTCCACTCAAAAGAGGCTTCAAAGGGCTGATAAACGAGCACTGAAATTAAATGATGAAAATAGTACTGGCCTTTGTCCCTTGGGTCTCTGTTATAACTCTATATCTCTGTATTTAAAATATCAATGACTGTATGAATTTAAATATTTTAACTTGAAAAAAATGTGCAATATGAAATGTAAATCATGTTATTTATTGATCGTGTTTGTTCTTGGAAAATAAATAAAAAAAAATCTTTACACATTCCCGCTTCTTTACATTAATGACAGACATTGCTGCAGAAAAAAAACAAACAAACAAAGTCGAGTTTGACTCTAAAATTGGATTTCGTTACACTTAGTTAACAAACTTTAACTCTAATGTAATTGCTTGAAATGGTGTAAAAACTATATATACATTATCAAGACCATATATATATATTATATTATATACGTTAGGCTAGACATTTTAGACGTATGTAGGTGGTGTGACACCATTTCGAGAGAAAACACTGTCTGATATTAATTAAAAAGACGTGGAAAGCTTCAGGGAATATGAGGCCTGCCATCACGGGTCATTCCGGCCCTATAATTTACCATTATTTTTACATTACCTCTAAATGATACAAGCTGATACTGTCGTTAATTGCACTTGGTTAAAATATAGCCTACACCAGAATGCCCCCGTGGGACTTTAAGATAAGTTGCTTTTTTGAACGTCCCCATTAAAGAAATAGGATTAGGGCAGCAAATATGGGCGTGATATATCACCATGTTTCCTTGCTCTTTACTAAAGCGAGGGCTGCAACCCATACAACAAAAGCATTGAGATAGATGGAGGTGT